ACATCATATATTTTGCATTAGACATACAAATTTTAGATAAAAATTTTTCTCAGAGTAACTATGTTATCTTTTGTGCAAAATATATGACATTTATATTCAAAATATTCCTGGTCTTACAAGGAATCCAGCAATGTCAATTATATTATCCTAACTTTAATCTGAGGTATTATTTAATACAAAATGTTAAAATTTATTTTTTTCACCCCACATCTCTTGAAGGGACGATTGGTGGGGGGTGGGGGGAGGGTTGGGACTGACCGCGCGGTTGGAAGAGGGGGGAGGCAAGGTGGGGTACTTTGATTGACAGATAGTGTCGTGAAGATTATTTTTTTTTTTATTAACTGAAGATACAGTTGGTCCTCACATTAAGCGGTCCCGCATTCCGCGTTTCACCGTTAACGCGGTGCCTTGCCAGAACCTAACATTCTCACATTCCGCGGTCGCGAACGCCATTACGCGGAGAGTGTCCGGCGCGACGCTATTTTTAGATTTTCCCCACGCGCCACCCGCCTGCCCGCCTGCCTGCCTCTCCCTCCTCCTCCCTCCGCTTGGGCAAGCGGCGCGGTAAGGTTGCGCAGTGTGTCTTTGTTGCGTTATCACTGACGTCATATGACGTACAAGACCTGTGATTGGCCATGCATCCCTACCCTCCTCTGCTGCTAGCTGTAATTGGCTTAAAGTATTATGACGTGTCCACCCGGGGGAGGGAGGGAGGGAGGAAAGACGACGCTTGACCTAGCCGCGACAGTTTCATCCCTCAAGGCCACTCCGTGTTAACGCGCATCCATTGTTCCGTAAAATGGCTTCCGCCGGACCACCACCCCCAGAGAAAAACCTTTCCTTACCTGGACCCAGCGGCACTAAGCCAAAGAAGACACGACGTTCCTTAAGCTACGAGGTGAAGTACCAAATTATTCAAGATTTGGAGAAAGGAACACGGCAAGTTGATCTCGCGCGCCAGCATGGCGTCAACGAATCTACGATTCGCACGATCAAGAAGGATGCAGCCAAGATCAAAGAGCACATGAAAATCACAAAGTCTGCAGGTGCTTCTATGATCAAGTATTTTCACAACCAGGTGCTTCTCAAGACAGAAAAATTACTTGTGAGGTACTTGGTGCGTCAGGCGCGACGGAACATGGCGGTCGACACGCGCTCTGTGAAGGACTACGCACGTGAACTGTACATGGCAGTGGCACGAAAGATGGGAATTACAGAGCCCAAACCCTTTAATGCTTCCTCTGGGTGGTTACAGAGGTTTAAGATCCGGAACAAGATCACCAATATAAACATTGGTGGTGAAGAAGCGAGTGCTGATCGTGCTGCGGCTCGGGAATTTCCTCCGTTTTTACGTGAGATTATGGAGGAAGGACAGTACAGTGACGACCAGGTGTTTAACATGGACGAATCTGGTCTTTTCTGGAGAAAACTACCTTCCAAGTCCTACATTGTGAAGAATGCCAGCAGGATTCGGGGCCGGAAAATGCAGAAGGAACGCATCACCGTCCTGTTTGCCACCAATGCCTCCGGTACCTGTAAGCTCAAGTTATCGGTGATCCACACAGCACGCAAGCCGCACGCCTACAAAACCATGGACATGACCAAGCTAAATGTCCACTGGCTGACAGCACGTAAGGCATGGATGTTCTCTACACTGTCCCTCTCCTGGTTTGATGACTGTTTTGTTCCCGATGTAAAGAAATTCTGTGAGCAACAGAATGTCCCATTTAATATTTTGTTGCTGCTGGACAACGCACCAGGACACTCGCCCCTACTGTTAGATCGTCACCCCAACGTAAAAGTGGTCTTCCTTCCTCCCAACACTACGTCTATATTACAGCCCATGGACCAGGAGTTGATTTGCAATGTGAAAGCTGCATTCTCAACAAAAAAATTCCAGCTCCTGAACGACTACACCAACACCAGGGAAGAGTTGCGTGACCTGAGTGACACCACCACCGATAGCAAGAGCGACGAAGATGAGGAACAACGGTTAGAACAGCAAAAAATACTCTTCAAACAATTCTGGAGAGTATTTAACATCAAGAAAGCTGTGGACATCTTGGTGGAGTCATGGGATCAGCTGTCTATTGCTACAATTCGTCACGCATGGAGACATGTGTTGCATGGAATACCAGGTGAGAGGAGGAGTCAATCTGTGACTGGTGAGGTTCAGAATGTTGCAGTAGCAGTGGACCTTGCCAGAGAAGCTGCGCAGACTGTTACAGTTCCAGGCTTCTCCGAGACCACCAACGACGACATCCTGGAGGTGATCAGAGATCCTGAAGTGACTGCCGACGAGATGTTGGAAGAAGAACACGTCAGTGAAGAGGAGGAAGAAGGTGCGTCAGTCTCCGAAGAACACAATTTAAGTCATAGTGATATTAAGGGTGCCATGGAGTGTGCAGAGAAGATGAAGTCCTTCCTTTCCCGCGACAATGACGATGACCGCTATGAAGTCTTCCATAACCGGCTGGTGCAGGCTATGGAGCCGTACATCAAGGTGTATCACGACAACATCAACGCCAGCCGTCAGCAAAGCATAACAGATTTCTTCACCCGCAACCCACCACAGCCAGCCCAAGCCAGTGATAGTGACAGTGAAGTTGACTTTGAGGGATTTGTCAGGGAAGCCCTGACAACTGTAAGTGACAGTGATGATGATTCACCTAGTAATGGTGATTCACCTGAGGGCCAGTAATCTGCCCTCTGCCTCGGAACCAGCCTCCATCCCCGTATGCCGACCCATCTCTTCTACTACCGTAAGTGTTACACAAAATTTTTAGTTTTTTAACCTATTCTTTATTTTTCCTATGTTAACCTTTATCTTTCCTAACCTAACCTCTTCTATATTACTTGTTTTTTCATACCATCATAAAGTTAAGATAAAATTTTTACTACAACATAGTTGTGTGTCGTCAAAAAGTGGAGTTTGGGGATCGGCCTGGACTCCATTTCAATTAATCCCATATGTTATGTTGTTCACTTTACGCGTTCCTCACTTTCCGCGGGACCCTCCGGGTTACATTAACCGCGTAATGTGAGGACCAACTGTGTTTGTTTTAGCTCATAAAATTCATACAAATTACCCGGTCAGAATATAATTTACATTGCTGGAATTCTTATAATTTGGTGATCATTTTGAACATAAACATCATATATTTTGCATTAGACATATAAATTTTAGATAAAATTTTTTCTCTGGGTAACTATGTTATCTTTTGTGCAAAATATATGACATTTATATTCAAAATATTCCTGGTCTTACAAGGAATCCAGCAATGTCAATTGTATTATCCTAACTTTAGTTTGAGGTATTATTTATTAAAATTTAGTGGTTTTCCTCCAAAAATTTCTCAGAGAGGGAAGAGCCGGCTGTATAGTGTGAGAGGGGGAGGGAGTTGAGTCCATTATTTGAATGGACATTAACTTGGCGACTGTATTTCTCTATTTCTCTTAAGTATTAATTGTGTGCATGTACCATCATAAAATTAAGATGTTATTTTTACTACAACATAGTTATGTGTCTTCAAAAAGTGTAGTTTGGGGGTCAGGCCGGTTTCTATTGGAATTTATCCCATATGTTCTGTTCTTCACTTAACGCGGATTTCACTTAACACGGGACCCTCTGGGTTCTATTGACCGCGTTAAGTGGGCTACAACTGTACTTTTATTTTTTACTTTTGTCTTATTGATCCATATTTCTAAGCTCCTACAGAGTTTAGGCAAGTTTGGTATAAAGAAGTACTGTATGGTGCCCCTTACCTTACTCTATAACACACAGCAGTGCCACTTCCAATATGTATTTGAATTAAAGGATATAAGCTGTTAAAGCTGATATAGTTATAGGAAAGCCTCTAATTATTTAATTGTTACAGAATTTTGTCTTTTGCAGTCAGTACATGGCAAGTAGGGCTCTTTCAGATAATATGAACTTGACATAATATTCATTTACCTGGTACTGTATTGTATTTTTTTTTTTTTGGGGAATCAGAATTCCAGTGACTACCACCTCTCTATCTCTCTCTCTCTCTCTCTCCACACACACACACACACACACACACACACACACACACACACCGGCCGCAACTCTATTAATAAACTGTTTATTATTATTATTAATATTAATATTAATATTATTACACACACACACACACACACACACACACACACACACACACACACACACAGCCCAGTCCCAACCATTGTAAAAATTTTCAATAACTTGTAATCAACCAGTGTATTTACTCCCAGTCAATCTTACCTTTAGCACTGTCACTATGTTGAAATGCCATGTAGTTTGAGCTTCTCCCCACCTAGTTTTAATATATATCATATTTGTACCACTTATGTTACTTGTATATTATTTGTAAATCAAATTGTATTTCTTATTTTCTGAAGAATTGATGCTTTAGAGTTAGTACTATATGGTTAATATTTTGTCAGTGTCAATCAATGATTATGACTAGTAGACCGCCTTTAGAAGACAGCCTGCGAGTGGCTTAAAGTATATTTCTAGGTAATTTTTAAAGGTGATATGTGTGTTATTATCAACACTCTCATCATGCGTTGGGTAGAGTATCCATGGTGATAGTCAAAATTAGATTTTATTTTTAATGTCTTTACCAAAGTCTTAAATTTCCTTTTTATTTGGAAAATAATGATTTTATAAAAAAATTTTTGTAGAGAGTTAGGCGCCGTTTCCCAATTATGTAGCTGTATATTTTCAGCCTTCCGACTGTCATGCTCTTTCAACAAACCTTTAATTATTATTATTTATTATTATTAAAGAAAAAAGAAGAAGAAATAATTGTCCTAAGGGCAAACACTTACAGGGAATATACATTTTTCTGCACACGAGTAAAAATGCCCCTCCCCCAGTCAGTAATTGATATTCGCGGACTCAATAATTTGCCGCCATTTTGAGACCCAAACCCCTGCAAATTTTAAGGGCATGCTGTACTGTAATTAGGCATTAATAATATATTTATTTATTGCAGGACATTGATCCCAGTGAGATGATGCACCGTTGGCCACCTGTGAAATTGGCATCAGCAAAGATGCGTGGACTTAGGGACTTATTGCTTGCTGACAAACTCAATTCCCAGGCTATTTCCCTTCAGCTAACAGCACAATCTCAAGTCAGTACACTTCCAACTCTAAACTTATTTTTTAGAGTTAATAGATTTGAAAATCAGTGGCCACCTGATGGATAGCAATCTTCAACCTTCAGCAAAGACAAAGACACTTATGATACAATGAGGGTAGAGGCTAAGATTCACATGCATTTCTAAAAAGACTTACTTGCCCTAAAATCTTTATTTAGGTATTTTCAAGGATCATTTACAGTTACCCCAAAAATCATTGTTGTTGCCAGAAATGTGTGGTGACAATATAAATCAGCTGTACCCCTCACCTCCTTCTTTGTAGTTGCCAACATAGATCAATGTTTAATTTTTTATGCCACTAATTAAAGTCCAAGTGTGTAAATTTCTCACCTGTAGAGTTAATGCACACTTAACAACTTAACCCTGGACCTATAGACACTGCATCTCACACCTTGCCCAATGAACAGTGTGTATCAGGATGTCGAGGGGTAGAAGCTGCCACCTTCATTCTGACCATGCAGTTCTGTCAGGTGGTGAGGGAAATTCTTTTTGTGATATATTATGACTGCATCAGTGGTGAATAGCAGGCAACAACCAACCATAATAAAGCTTGTGTGAAGAGCCAGGGACAGTCTTCACACTTGCATTCACCAATGAGTAATTTCTTGAGATGCACAGTCATGAAGCCCTGTGCATACAGTAGGGTGCAAGGAAATTTTACTGTAGGAAATTTTGAAGTTGAGAGTCAGAGTATCTAGCATGCCAAACCTCATGGCCAAGGATAGGGTTAATTGTTCCCTGAAAATGTTTTATAATCATGTGATTAAGATCTCTAACACAAATATGTCACAAGAATCATATTCACAGCCAACCACGTTAATCCTACACCAGAGTGGTTACTGCCACTACAGTGGTCCCTCGGTTAACGAATACAATTCGTTCCACAGAGTCGTTCGTTAACCGAAAATTTTGTTAACCGAATCCATTGTTTCAATGGGATTTTGGGTAATTGGTTCCATCTCACCGAAAAGTACATACAAAGTAAAAAAAAAAAAATTGCAGTAAAGTACACTTACTTTGAGGTGTGTATGTAGAAGGTTCCTGGTTGATGATGATGATGGGAATTAGAAGTGGGGGTGGAGGAGAAGGGAGAAGAGAAAGAAGTGGGGATGGAGGAGAAATCACCTTTCAGGGGACCCATGCTTGATGCATTAATTTCACCAATAAAATTTTAAGTTCACTAGGTGTAATTCAAGATTATTTTATTTAAATCAACACTGGACTGTGCTATATATTATCAATATGTTAACTAAATTTCAGAATGACCAATAATTTTAATGTAAAAATGCAAAAATATTCAAGACACCAACAAAATAGATGTTCACTCCACTGTAAACAAAGCCAAACTGACGCCTGGTGGGTGAATCAAGCGGCCGATGGACGCACAAAAAACTAGTTCCCTCTACTGCATATATTATCATTATGTTAACAATTTTAAAATTACTAATAATTTTATTATACAAAATGCAAAAATATTAAAGAGCACAACTTTCTTGATATTTATTCCACTGGAAACGAATGTAAACATAGAACAGATTACTGAATTGGCAGACTAACCCATCAGCTGATGCTCACAACAAAACGTGTTTGTCGTAAGGATTTCGTTAATCAAAGTTTGGTTCGTTGACCGAATTGAAGATCCTTATGGGAGGTAATTCGTTAATTGAACCGTTCGTTAACCGAGGGACCACAGTATTTCAGAGGTCACACATAATTAAGTAAATTCCATCAGGTCAATATGGAACAACTGATGTGGGCAAATGGAGTGACATAAAATAAATCAACATTTCCCTGTGGTGGGACAGATTGTGTGCAAAATTGGTTGGTCCTTGAGGAGGTTGGCTGGAGATCACCTCATGACATTTCCATCCTTTGGGTCACTTTCAAAGGAAAGTGACTATTTTACTAAATGTTGAATCATTTTAAAACCTAGTTTTTGACAGTGTTGTTTACATTATCCCACTTCATATTGCAATGTTAACAATATTTAAAAGTGAAAATGTAATTGATCCATGGCTTTCAACTTGAAATCCTGGAAAATTCATTGGGGTGTAAGGAAATTTTAGCCCAGGGGTCTGTAAAGCACCATATTTTTAAGGCACCAAATGTTATTATGTTGGTTAACACACATACCAATGTCCTTATTCTTGTCCAGTGTTTCTTGAAAGTGCAGAAGGTTGGTAACCACTTTTGTAATGAGGAATGCAGAGTGCAAAAGAATGTAGACAATATGGGCTGATAAGTTTAAACATTTTGTATGTATTAGAATGAACATCACAAACCTCAATATACAATTTTATTTTGTTTTCACTTTGTTGCCTTGTACTAACAAACTTGTTTTTGCAGGTGACTATGACGAAAAAGAGAGGAGCAGGCGAACTAGAGACACCACATGCCGGACGATCCAAAAGAGCGCGGAGAGAATAAAGCTAAGGAGTCTACAGATTATATTTTAGAGGTCATTGTATGTCATTATGAAAAGTTGTACAGTGAATTATCAAGGCTGAGGTTGTAGAGTGGAGTATAATTTGTAACACTGAGGCCCAGAAAAATGACTTGGCTATACCATAGGGTTTTGGTGTATTGGGAAAATTTTAAGTGTATTGTACTATGTAAAGGTAAGTTTATAGTACATGGGAGTACAGCACTCACAAAGTGATGTTACCAAACATGTTCATGATGTGATATAGTTTTTGAATAGAAATTTAAAAATCTGTTCAATTTTTCAAGTCAACAGTTTGGTAAACAAATAATACATGAGGCTCCTTTACTTCATAAAATATATGGTGATGTCAGCCTGTTTATGGGTGAGTGACGGAGACACACCGAAAGTGATGTTTGTGTTCGAGGTATACTGTATCTTGTTTTAAATTTCCTGGGTCAGTTGATGCCAGAGAGTTCTGCAAAGAATTATTTATAAAAATCGCTGCTATCTGAAGGCTGTTTGTCAGTTTTGTCGTTGAGTGTGATTGATAAAATTTTCTTTTAATTAAAAGAAAATTGTGTTTCTTATTTTCTGAAGAATTGATGCTTTAGAGTTAGTACTATATGGTTAATATTTTGTCAGTGTCAATCAATGATTATGACTAGTAGACCGCCTTTAGAAGACAGCCTGCGAGTGGCTTAAAGTATATTTCTAGGTAATTTTTAAAGGTGATATGTGTGTTATTATCAACACGCTCATCATGCGTTGGGTAGAGTATCCATGGTGATAGTCAAAATTAGATTTTATTTTTAATGTCTTTACCAAAGTCTTAAATTTCCTTTTTATTTGGAAAATAATGATTTTATACAAATTTTATGTAGAGAGTTAGGCGCCATTTCCTATATGAGAAATGTGCCACAGTTGATTAAGGATAGTGATACTTATTTATTTTAAGAAGCTAAAGAGATGAGTGTCAAGTAGTTTTGTCTGAATCCAAAGGAATGGCTATTAAGCAGTTTTTGTTTGTTGTTCCAATAGGAATCAAAGATTATTTTTTAAATAATGTATATGATTATTGTTAACTACATTTAAGTGTAGTATCTTATTTTAGCATAGGTGCCAGATCATACAACTAATGCTTGGAAGAAATACTGGTGTAGATTATTCAATATTTCTGTAAAGCACAAATGATTCATCATTAATGGCATTGGTGTCCCATTGCTGCATAGTACCGTATATACACGTACTACAGTACCATCCCAAGTAGTCCTATTGGGAAATTATAAAAATCTACCACGCATTAAGTAACTCCTCAGTAATGACACTGCTTCATTGAGGATGAAGAGGAGTCGGATTGCTGTGGCAGCAGTTGGTTCCTGTTGTGCGCATGGATCGTAGCGCAGTTGGTGGAGGCTAGTAAAGGGAGGCAAGTTTTAGTACCTCTTCCTATTTGATATTTGTGTCCAGTCTTAGTAGCCTGTGATGATTTACACGCAGAAGTTTATGTGTACGTCAAGTTTCAGGGGAATTTTATTGATTTAAGGTGCTGGTATAAGTACAATTGTCTTTGCAAAAAAATGGTATTGATAAGACTATGTGGTTTCCTAAATGTTGCTTGCTAGATATTATACTTTTAGAGATTTAAGCATGTGTATGCGATAATACACACTGTTATGTTTGATTCTAGGATATTCTATTGATCCTTTAATACATGATGCGTTCAGTTTGCATTGGGATGTAGATTAATTTATTTGTAAATACTGTAACTTTTTCCCTGTTCATTACTGGCAATAATCATATCATATTTTGTTGAGCATTTTGAAGTTAAGTTGGCTTCCCCCTGTGAGGGTATTTTACCTGTATATGGAAGGGAATGAAGCCCCTCCTGGTTGATTATCTTTGACGTGCCAGCAACACAGCGGCAACACCCGTAGTACGTAACTGTGAAATACAGTTAGCCTATGTGGTCTGCTCACTGGGTTAGACCACCAAACAAGTACCTGATAAGGCTTAAGTAAAGTTAGGAAAGTGGTTGTGCACCTACTTATAATGTTGACACATGGACACCTCAAGGCTAATAGTTTGACCTCTCACAGCCATGGATGTTATGATGTTTAAACAGAATGCTGTCTCCTGTAGGCCACTGGTATTAGATCCCTGATAGGCATGTACTCTTACCCATAGGCTGCCATGTTACTTTCAGTATGACCCCAATTGGTGACTCTTCATCTTGGTCACAAAGACTATTAATTGCCTAGGTATGTTGTTACCTGTGGAACTCCCAGGTATCTTGATACTGGTGACTAAAAGTTTCTTGAGTCATATCTGTCGGTGGCAGGTTGTTGCCTACAAGTAATAGCTGCCAATTGCAGTCTGTGACCAATAGTTCACATCAGTTGGTGTCCTTTAGCTCACATTTCATGATGGAAGATGGTAGTATGTGGCCTTCAAGTTACAGCTGTGTGATGACAGTTGGTCTTTTGTATTTCATATTTTATGGGGGACAGTTTGTGGCCATTAGGTCACATCTACTAATGGCAGGGTTTTTTTTATATTTGGCTCACATCTGGTTGCAGTTTATAGCATTTAGGTCACATCTTGTGGTGAAAGTTTGTGGTCTCTAGGTCACATCAGCTAATGGCAGTTGTTGTCTGTAGTTGGTGACAGTTGATGTCTGCAGGTCATGTATGTTGTTAACATTAGTTACCTGTAGATAGAATCCATTGTTAACAACTTGTTGTCTGAAGGGTGCATCTGTTGTCTTTTGGCTTCATTTGTCAAAATTATAGGCTGTAAAGGTTGTGGATGTTGATGACGGTACAACCCTGTAGGTGTTGAGTGTTGGTGTCAGTCATTCGGTCATGTTGGCCATTCACATAGCTGGCAATACAACCCTCTAAGGCCACAAATGTTATGTGTGGTAGGTGTCGCTATCACCAGCTATATGTTACAACAATTTTTAGGAAGTGCTTTATAGAAACTTCATTCACTCAGATGTGACACTTGAGAAATCTCTTGATATTTTGATGATAATGTTTGCAAAAGAGACAGAACATGTGCACCCACAATTATGTATTTCTTCTGCATTGACTTTACAAACCTAGTGTAACATGCATGATAGGTTAGTATGAGGGTCTTATAAATGCATTGTACCTATATGATATTATTGCCTTTTTTTTATGTGTGTGTAGCCCGTTTGCACAATAGAATCATTGGGCAGGCCTTTCCAACTGAAGGTTCTTATGTACTTAGACCTCATAATAGTTACAGAAATCACTCCACATCACATACATCAGTGTCAGCTGTTTTCATTACAGAAAATAGACCTCAGAATGGCATAGCAACTTACAGTTCACTCCAAACCACAGTTTTCTAAGATGCAGTGAACCGGTGTCTTTGTGATGATAGATGAAAAGTGATTTTGATATTCTTGCTTTCGTGCTTACCAAGTATAATATGCATGTTTATCAAAGTTTTACATCTATCAATAAGCAGGACACTGGTAAGAAAATGATGAGAATTATTAAAAGCATTAAACAGGTTTGTGTTTAGGCCAGGTGTTCCGTAGCTCTCATGACTGGGAGGCCTGTGTTAGCCCAGTTACCCTTACTCTGTGCCAGACTTTATCTCTGTCATGACCTACAGTATATGATGCTTGAAAAATCGTCTCAGATAGTCGCTGTTTGTACCCACAAAACCCATCTCTGCTAAATGTTTTCCTTTGAGAGGTAGTGGTTGAGATCATTGTTGATATAATGTTGGCTTTGTGTAGAAAATAAAATTTCTATATCTGCAAATTTAAGAAATATGTATATTTACATCAGCAAAAATATTAGTAACATTGGGATTTGCTCATGGTTTGATCATTGCTGGATTATAACATTTTAAGATGGTTTTGATCCCATTGTTTTGGGATATGAATGTATGGTTAGCACAACTGTGCTTGAACATTTACAATGTTATTGCACTAATGGTTTATTGCTGCGCTTGGCATCTACATTATAAGCTTAAGTTATATGCTAAAATTAACATGATAAGCTTAGGTCAGATTTTTAACATATGCATCATAACCTTAGGTCATATGCTGAGACTTGCATTATCAGCTTAGGTCAAATGCTGAGACTTGCATTATCAGCTTAGGTCAAATGCTGAGACTTGCATCTTAAGTTTAGGGCACATTCATAGCAAATTCCCAGTGTTAAATGCATAATAGCTGTACAATATGCAGTATCCCCATCCTCCCCCCTGTGTCCCTCCCCCACTCAACCACATGCGTCAAGGCCATCTTCAGTACTGTGTTGGAAATAGTCATTATCATAATATTTTCTCGAATTAGACATTAAGATCTTCTGATTTTATATTCATTTCTTGTGCTCCAAGTGTATTGTTGTATGTTTGACAAGTAGGAATACAGTATTTAAGTTTAATGACAGTTCTAATTTTTTTTTTATTTTTTTTTTATTTTTACCTGATTGATTATGTACCTTTGTAAAAGAAACATTCCTATATGAATAGTATAGTGAAATGAGCCGGCTTAGATCTCTGGAGCATTGGCCCACTGCTGTGTGTCTGTGTGTCACCAGGACCACAGACTCTTCGTTCTCCCTGTCAGTTCACCAGGACCAGGCTCGCTACTTTTGTTACGTCGGTTCACTAGGACCAGGCTCTTCTTTTTTAGTTTTGTCTGTTCTTCAGAATGAGGCTCCTCTCTTCTTATGCCTGTTCACAAGAGCCGAACTTCTCTTCTCTCATGCCAAGTCTGTTCAGCCAGGCCATGCCACCCTCCTTCCTAGCTGTACCAGACATGGTCATTAAGCTATGTAGTGATATTCACCCCATGATATTTTAGTTTCTCTAGATCTTATCATTGTACACATGCAAGTATGTTCATCTTAGCAGTGTTGCTGTATATTATTGAATATAAGCCACGCATCCGGTTATATCTTACCAGTACAGTATACCAAATCCTCATTACCCAGTGATGATTAATTAGCATCTGTAAATTGATGCATTTAATGGGCCCTTTTATTCTTCCCCCTCTTCACATGAAATATTGACTTGTTATTATTACTTGATATACTCATCACTTGGCTAGTTGATATTACCTATTGATTGATGTATTGGTAGCAGTTGTCTGAAATGCCATATATTTTTCCATTCATTATAAGGAATGTTTTTAGCGTTTACTGTGTTTAGTTCTTCAACCTTCGTGAGACATCACATATACTTCTGTCATCAATTGTTTTTGTTTTCTTGCTTTGTTTTTCTCATTGCTAAGTATTAATTATGTCCAGTCTGAGAAATTAATTGTAATAGATTTCTTCCATCTTTCATTTATCAGTAAAAGAGTCAAAGTTTGCTGTGTTGATCAAAAGACTTTTATAACCCATTCTTGTAAATCCCCATGAGTCATGAAGCCAACATGAGAAGATTTGCAGTCAAAATGGCCTATTATATTAGAATCTCAAATTGGATACATTTTCTTGTTGGGAGTTTTTGGTAGACTAAGGATTCATAACATTCTCTGTGAAGTAGCTTACCTGACAGACATTCATATTTTTGTCTAATTATATTACTTCCCAATGTTTAATTTTTTTTGCATTCATAGGTATCCACTGCAGGAGCAATCTGTGTGCTATTTAATTGCAAGGAATGGGGCAAGTTCAAAGGAAATATATTTGGTTTATATTTTATTATTACAGTATTATGATTTATTCAAATGGCCATTACCTATATTAGACTACTTGGAGAATGTGAGAAACATTGCTGAGTGATGTAGGTGTTAGGAATTATGGTTTGATGAACACCAATTTGAGAGTAATATTTTATTTTGTATTTTGTATCTGGTGTTTTATAATTGTTTAATTTATGTTTGCAAACTTTTGCCTGGAGGGCCAGCTTTTTAATGAGGACATATTTATACTTGAAATCCATAGTGAATTAATACATAGTCAACAATTTCTAATGCATATTTCATTGTAGGTGAATTAAGGATTATGGTTGTCAGGTCTTGTGGTGAATCAGGGTCAGTTGACAACATTAGTAAGACCCCCTTAAAAGTACCTGTGATTTAATTGGATTGATAGATTGGTGGCAAAACTCACTTTTTATAGGATCATGAACGATGGAGCATAATAGTTTAGTAGAGCACTGCTTCAACATTTGATAGGTTTTTTTATGAATTAGTATTACACTTTTTCTTCCCGTATATACCAAGCAAGTTGATGCAGACAATCTTTCACAATTTTTACTGTATTCAAGCTACAAGCAGAGTAATGCAGCCTTTGTGTTGGCTTGAGTATTTCTTAAGGGAAGTCGTATCTCTCCCACACAGTTTTAATTAGAATATAGTACTTGCATCTTTTTAAAAATTCTTAGTGGTGTGCTTGATAAATTTTTAGTCATTAGATGCAGTAACCAGAAGACACATATTCTTATTGAAAATCTAAGACACTTAATATAAATTTATAAGCATTAACATTAATATAACATAGCATATTATAGTGGAAAAATGTTGATCATAGTATAATAATTTTGCACTCTAAATGCAAAGTCAAACTTGATGTAAAAAAAAAAATCTAGTTCATCCACACAAAGTATACAAGACCTTATGCCATGCTCCTGGAATCATTATTTGTCATAGTCAAAATCAAGCATTTACTATTGTGTTTTAAGATTTTTAATCAGCCATGTTTCAATGTCCCCATTCCTAATACTTTTCATAATTGGAACATTGCATCATTGTGTACTGCAGTGGAAGTTTGTTGTCACCAGGCAGCATTAATTTAAATAGGTATATACAGTCCAGTTTATATATGTTGCAACTTTAGAGTGAAGGCAGCCACAAGACATTAGGAAAGCCATACATCTCACCCTTACCACTCAGTACTACCTGGGCCATCCATTATCATCATCCTTGTATATTATGACCTTACATCGTCATCAACACACCTTTATCTTGTTACCAATCACGCATAATACAGTACTGTCTATATCATATGTTCCATTTTACATTTGTAGTTACAGAATTCTCCCACAAAATCATAGTTTCAGTGTCCAAATAACACCAATATTAGCACCCATCACAGCATTTTTTAAAGGTTTTTACTTGTCATATATTATAGTTTTAGTGATCAAACAACACCAGTAACTTCACTCATCACAAAGTTTTTCAAAGGCTTCTGCTTGTGGGTTGGTTGTCTTGTAGATATTTTTGCATCCGTACCAGTTGCATTTTTTATTTTTTCATGTATATACAACCCTTGGTACAACAACGTTAAGTCATGGTGTTTCTACGAACAGTAACGGATAGATTTACAATATATATTAATATATATCTTTAGGTAAGGTGAAGAAATATTATATAAACTGAATTAAATTTATATTTTAAGGGCTTATATTCAATAAAATGTTGTAGTGCTGTAGATACATACAGTGTATTAGTCTTATTAGTATTAAGTCCACACATGTAAATGAATCAGTCTTACTAGTGTTAAGTACACACATGTAAGTGTACCAGTCTTATGTGTGTTAAGTACAGGACACATATGTAAGTGTAGTAATCTTACTAGTGTTAAGTACACACATGTAAGTGTATCAATCTTACCAGTGTTAAGTACACACTTGTGTGTATGTCAGTCTTACCAGTGTTAAGTACACACATGTATGTGTATCAATCTTTTAATGTCAAGTACACACATGTAAGTGTAATAAGGAGATGTGTACTTAGTGTTCTTGAATATAATGGGGAAGAATTTCCCTCCAGTGATTTCACCTGCAAAACACACACATTTCCTTAACATGAGGTTATTATAGAGAAATGAATTTCAGGCCTGTTTGTTTGTTTTCCATTTAAAAGAAAAAATTGGTCACCCAAGTGCAGTCAAAACCTTGGTTTAGCCTGTGCACTACCTAACATAAGCAGCCATTAGCCTCCTATCCATGGGGACTGTGCTGCAGTCCTCCTCATGCACCATATTTTCAACATTTCAGTTTGGGTTTTAGGCAGTTGAAGGGAAACTTCTCTTGCCTTTTAGGTACTTAAACTCTTAAAACAAAAAACAGTTAATTTGGTTGACCGGGTTGATGTCTATTCCCTCCTCAGTGTTTTTAGTACATCATTCACCTAAATTTAAAGGGTTTCCTGCTGACCTCTTCCAAGTGATGGACTAAAGAGTAAAAGCTTCCTAACTAAGGCTGCTTAAGTTGCCTGGCTAGGGTGTTATGGCTGTGTGTATAAATGTAATAATACTGACCACCACCACCACCACAATTGAAAAAACCTGTTGATATATCTGAATTTGAAAGATCGGTTTAATAATAGAATTCTGATTTCTTTTAACTTTAAATTTGGTTTCACATTTGATAAAAATGCAACAGAATTTGACAAACAAACAGGTAACTGATACATTTCTGGATCCAGATTTCTTAATGCAGATAACCAGATATATTTAATTTTTGGTGCATTCACAGTTTGGTTTACTGATAAGATAAAAAGCAAAGAAATAAGTAATTCGATAAAACAGCATGAAATGTTGTTCATTAAAGTAAAAACATGTCAGACCTTATTTAATATTCAAGAAGTCCCTTTGAATCCTGGTATGTGACACACAGGACTGTGGTCACTTCAGTTTATTGCAACTCTTATGCAACTAATGTTAAACACATCAAAATGTGAAGAACGGGCCCAAACCTAATAAATCAGTGGAGCATCGTCTCTCCTTGTTAGCTATAAGGTCCTATGTTACCTGATACTTGTGATTTCTGTGTATGCATCTGGAAGACAAAAAGGTCCTCCTGATCCTTTTCTTGTGATTGTTAGAAAACTAATTAACTTAAGCAGAATTGGCAATCTTTAGCAGGTGTTAAACATGCAGCAGTATTTTATCTGTCTGAAATCATGATGAATACAATCTTTCCATTAAAATTATATTTTTTAATAGATTGTAAATTAATGTCACATAGATTGATAAGGTTTGATGTGTAGATAATCAAAATTTTTGTAATTGAATCTCAGGTGCATGAGATGCTGCTGGACAGAACAATTTGTTCTTAGAACACAATTGCAATGAATTACTGTTGATACAATTCACCAACATAAATTTGGATTGCAAGTATGTCAGTGTTAATTATGAACATAAATTTATGTGAATTGTGTGCAGTGAAATTTTCTGTCCTAAAACATTGCCAGTGTGAGAAGTTGATCAGTTTTCCAGCAAGCTCAAGGAGAGGAGTAGACTACAATCTAAGTCAGTTTCCCTGTAGTGTCTAATTTAAGGAGCATTTCCACAGGACCCAGTGAGACCAAATTAATATCTTGAAGATGGAGTAAAAGAGTAAGTTAATAAGAAAGCAAAAATGATTTTGCCAGAGTATATAAAGATCTGTCATTTAAGAGTTGATGAGTAATTATGACTACCTGTGAAAATGTGAAGCTTTTTATGATCAAAGATTAAGGAGATTGCCAAAAGATCATATATATGTCTTGTTAATTTTTGATCAAGCTCCCAAAACTAGTGTGTTATTTGTCAGATTACCACAGAGTAAGGTAGAAGGTGCAGACAGCCATTTCGTCTGTGTATGGCACAAGAGCCACACAGTTATCCATGCAGAATGAAAAAAAAAAAAATCACTATAAAATTCATTTTCTAATGATTTCATTTACTTCTTGGGTCAGGTTCAAGGTACAGTACTTGTTAATGGCATCAGCCACCAAATCTCCAATGGCCCTTACTCATCACATGTACCCCTCATTGTTGGCCCCTATTCTTCATTGCTGATACTGGCTAATTTTAGCAGATGCTAGCCATTTTATACTGGTACACACCATGATTTCCATTGCTACCCCCATGTGCCAGCCTCTTCATGCCTTGCTTGTGCCATACACAGTCAGTTGCTGCTGCTTGCCAAATAAACAATAAACTTACTCAGTCTTAAGTTCTTCAAATCTTCAGATATCTTGTGGCTATTTTTGGTCTCTAGTGTTTAGGTTAGCAAGTAGAGAATATTATGAATAAAATTTATTTTTGTGGCATATAAAATGTTGTATTATTTTCAACCTAAAGTTGAAAGTATTTTGGTAGAAATTTTGTGATATGGATGGGCTGTTTACAAATGAAATCAACCAGTGAAGAAATTTAATTAATAAATGTAATAACATGTACTGTAAATTAATTAATTAAAATAATAGTTTTAAATCAACTGCTTCCTTTCATCTGTGGAATTACAGCCTTGGAAAAAGCTTACTTTTTGAAAAGATTCCTGACCTAAATGATCATTATTTTACACTCAGGACACCCCAGTTAGCTCAGCTAGGAGTGGGTTCCTAACTTTTCTAATTGGAATAGTAAAGGAGATCAAGTGTAGAGCCATCCATGCTTCTTCCTTTTGTATCCTTGTGTCATCAGTCCCTTAGTATCCACTTTCATTTTTTCTACTTCAATATGGTCAGCTAAGTCTTCCTAGTGCAGGGGTCATACACTACCAGGGAGACATGTTCATTTGCTTTTGTTCTTAATAAGGGATGAACAAAAAAACACCCAAGGGTATGGCAATTAACTATCTTAGGTTTCGTCATATACAATCCTCAAATAATCTGAGTTAGGGCCAAAATAAAGCAACTTAAAGTGAGGCATTTTCCTCATAACAATACATGTAAATACTATACAGGGGATAGGGACCGTAAGAGCATTTACATCGCTGATGCAATGCAAAGCGGGGCAATTTCCCCCATAAGAAATAATGTAAAAAGGTAGGAATAGGAACCGGATTTTTAAGTAATTTTCTACCTACAGAATAGATAAAGTACTTATGATATTTTTAACCCTTAGGCCTTGGGTCACGTCCTGTGACGTCTGTCTTTAAAGCTTCGGGTCACGTCACATGATGTTTTGATCTTTCCCTGGTCTATTTAAATAAATATGGCAGTCCTGGCTAGATAATGTTGCCAAATAGGTATTTATCTTTCACTCACTAATGCATGAGTGCCTCCCAGTCTCTTCTCAGTAGCTTATCAGCTTTTGTGATGTAGGCATCTCGTCCTGGGACTTGACTCGCATTGCCATGTGTTTCTACCCACCCAATCCCCAACCACATGTCTATTAAGTATTGTGATCAATACTAGAGCACTAATAATGATTGTTGATAGTGTAAATAGTAATAACATGGGAAAGCAATTGTCCTGTACCTCATACTGCCTGCAAATTAGTGTTGTTTACCTCGTTACTACTGCGACACACACACATGCCACTTCATGAACATTCTCAACTCTCCCTAGCCCCAGGGTTGCCAACCTGCGGTAAGAACATTTATTTATTTCCTGTTTATATCATTCATGACCAGTTTATAAGACTAGAATTGCTTTTTATTTTAAATGTTCCCGAATACTCTTTATAATGTCCAGTGTAATTCTCATACACTTTTTCTTCCCCTCCTCACCTGCAATATATTTGTCATTCATTATTGAACGGTTGCTAGGATAAATCCAGATATGGTCAATGCTGAATGTGAAGCTCTTCCACTACTCACAATGCAATAGAAAACGGTGGGACTGAGATTCAAGTTCTGACGTTGTTTATACCAAGTCAAACGAGTCAAACATGACATTAGTGCGGGGAATTTTTACATTATGTCCCTCAATTAGTCAATGACATCAGTATGAAACATATTTTGGGCTGTGTGCTCTCATAGTCCTAATTTTAGACAAGCTGACTTGGCCTTATGAGATCAAAAACACTGCTAAAATTTCATTTTTTTTTACCTTTTTATTTATGAACAAATATGTGGTGCTTTAGTTGGCAGAATATATACTGTAGCAGTAAGTGCAAATGGTTCTAAAAACTATAAAAACTTTATAAATTTTATTTATCCTTGTACACTCACGCGCCATAGTTTCGATACACCCTCTACCGCTACTCCTGGCTCGAGGAAAGTCATAGTCAGGGCTGCAAACCGAACAGCCCCTCTTGTATAGTGATGGTAAATAAAGTGTCTTGAAGTCACAAAATAACCTGTATCGTGCATATAGTCTCTCAAATATTACATCATGAACTGTTATTCATACATTACAGCGAAGCTTTGAGCTACCACATTGCACCACTGAACAATGGGGTGGGGGCATGTTCGGTATGAAGCCAAGGCTACGACTTCCATCGAGTCAGGAGTAGGGGTAGAGGGTGCATCGAAACTATGGCACGCGAGTGTACATACAAAGATAACATCCTCAAGAGCAAAGTTGTTCTTGAGGAAGCTGTCTTTTTGTGAATTACTGTACTGTGCTTCCTGGGAATTTTAAACATTCTCTAAATCACAATGCCTTGTAAATGTTGATATACTTAAGTTGTATGTGTAAATTAAAATAGAAGCAACACAATGCAGTATCATCATCATCATCATCATTTTATGGTCATTTTCCACACTTGAGTGGGGATACTGATAATAAGTTATCTCAAGACTTTAAATAGGTTAGAACAGAGTTTGATGAAATTCAATGAAATGAGTTAAAGTTAGTTTGAGTGTTGAGTGTCCTTTGATGCACCACATAAAAGTGGGAATAAAAACACCGTAAAAACTGTTATAGCAGGGTGAAAGGATAGCAAGAGACTTAGAAAATAAATGAAAATTTGTAAGAGAAATATGGAAATAGGAACTCAAATGAGACACCTAGGTTCATAACTAAGGAAACTCAGGATTTAACAAGGTACAGTAAAACCCCTATAATTCAAAAATTCAAAATAATAGGGGCTCTAACACTCCTGCCATTTCTCAGTGTATGAAGTCAAGGGTGTTGTTGGAACTTAAGTAAGCTTCCACAGTCGGGGTCGGCAGGTTAATATTTTATGTTTGGTTTTTACATTCTGGTTCTTAAAAAAAAAGGGAGGGGAGGAAAAACCAGACAAATTTTGGTGAAATCAATACAGCTGTGATGTGTAGGTTTATTTATTTATTTTTTTTTTTGCTCTTAGTTTTCCTTCCCGCTGGGGGCTTAGTGATGACTTCTGCAACTTGTGTGGGCATGGAACAGACCAGGGTGACGTACTTCTGTTCATCTGTAGCTGTAGAGCCGATGAGAGCTGCCTTCTTGTGGATTAGCCAGTCTTCAATGTTGTGATTGAAGACTGGAAGAGTGATCCGCTTCCCCTCCATCCTAGTGCGATCCTACATCACGTTAACCCCACAAGGTCACTTGGTAAAATAGCCTACATTTGTAAACAGCAGGATTATTTATTGTTTTGATCGACAATATACCTGATCTAACCTAACTTCGAATCACGTCAGATCAGTGAGTAACCTGACATGCCTCACATACAGGTAAGGGAGGGACACTCATCTGAGTGTGTGTCAATGTTGCCGCTTAGTTCACATCTGCCAGTTGCCATATGTCACATAAGAGAAAACGTATACAATTATTGAGTAACTAAATTAAACAGGAAATACATAGAAAATATTCAAAGACGATATTTATTGATATTGAAATAAGTCTTATTTTGGTATGGAATAAAAAATGTCTTAAAAAGGTTTAGAAAAAATAAATTTGTAACAAAATGTGCACATATTTCACCATTTTGTAATGAAATACAAAGGTAATAAACAATACACATACTGTATATGGTATTTACAATTAATCATGATTTTTTACAAACCGAATCAAATTTTCACTTGGCTCGTATGAAACACATCCTCCACATTTCTGAACCATTTCAGATGAAATGATTAGAGATGTTAAAGTCTGCGTAGAAAGATTATTTCTTTTCTTAGTTTTGGTCAGATTCACCTTGGAAAAGATTCTTTCTACATGAACATTTGATGTGGGCAAAGATAATATCTTCAGAGCAAAGTATGGGTGCTTGTAGTGGATTCCTCCCCTACAGACGCTTTTGTCGCTCAGTAGCCGACCCCGCGAATTCTCCAGCCGCACCTCGTGTCTAGGTCAACCAGCGCCGCCTTACATGACGGAGGTCAACTATTAAGCCACGCCTACCTCCGCTATACAAGATCTCACCTCGTGGTGACCTACCTCTTTCTACCTACAGCCAGTCTTCAAGCAACATCTCCTCCTCCACTCCCGCCGGCGACCATGGTGACCCACAAGCTGGTCCTCCTCTGAGCACCCTCACCTTCCCAGCACCAAGCTGCTCTGTACATCCAATACAATATGTACTGTATACAGAGAGCACATTGTGAGTTTCCTTTCTCCATCCCATCCTGAGTGTGAACCTAATATTACGAAATCCCACAAGCTCACGGAAAGATGGTTCACCAAAATCATCTTTCATACATGACATTTCCTTGTAGAATAGCTCTGCATTTCTTTGATTTTTCATATAGTTTGGAAATTTTATGTTGTCAATGGTTCTCCACTCATTATCTAACTGCTGTTTGTTCGTGGGAGATATTCTAGGGAAGTGTTCAGTAAAGGTAACATTGAAGGCATTGTCACCCTCGACTGCTCATTTAAAAAAAAAATTCTACTGAAAATACAAAACGCATTTGTATAGGTTCGTTACCAAGTGGAAACCCCTTTTTTCATTTCTTTGCAAGATATAATCATAAATTGCCTGCACCTATTCATCACATCTTCTATCATGTCTTTCCTGTCCCTATACTCTTCAGACTGGAGGAGACTATGAACTTCTATCCCAAGATATATCTGGTTAAGAGGGGGAATTCTGTGTTGTCTTCAGGATCTATATTTGCTATACATGAGATCCTGTTCACTCCATCTCTCTTTATGAAATTCCACAATACCTCACGGTAAAGATCACTGCATCTTTTATGCAATACTTGTATTGAAGGTTCTTGACGTTGGAAAAGAAGGTTTAAGTTATTAAACTTTGGCAAAATATAGTTGAGAAAATGGAAATATAGGCGTGTGGATGGATCATTTAAGCTTTCTAGAATAGATGAAATTGTGAAATTTTTCCTCCATACTTATGCTGGTAAAATATACAGTAGTTTCAAATGTTCCTAATTTTGCTCTATCAGTCTCGTAACTGCCATGTGATAAGGGAAAATTACGTGAATGTATGCTATATACTGAATA